CCACCCCCCTGTCGTCGCCTCAACTCACCTCCAAAAAACACGCACTACCCTGATATTTCTGGGGCTGGCCTCCCCACCTCTCTCAAGCCTCCTTCGAAAAAGCTCGCATCCTATCCCGAAGTGATCTTAGTCCTCCTCCGTGGCAGACAAGCCGAGGGAACCACACACTTGTCCGCTGCTCCAGGTTCCAACCCCTGACAACCCGGACAAATCCTTACCTGGGCGGCCAATCCAGGGTGAAAGAGAAGGGAACAAACCCAAAGGCCCTCCAACGGTGCAGCTTCAAGCCATCCACCACATCTGTGCTCCGTACCTGGAGTTTATCGTCCGCCTATCCACTAGCTGCAGCAGCCACACCCACTCTCCTGCATTTGCTACCTCACTTCGGGTGCCTCCCTTTCAGGAGAAAGACTCGCTTGGATACTACGAGACTCTCTCTCAAACATCAGGAGCTGCATCCCTGGGCCGTGTCTGGGACCACCCATATTTCGATATATCACACAGACCACAGGCTCGTGTGAACTTCTGAATCTCTTCCTGCTGGCCAGGTGAAATCGTCTACAGAACTTGGGCAGATAATATCTTGGATACCCAACCTCCCCGCTTGTGTCAGAGGCCTGTTACTTCACTTCAATTCCACTCGCTCTGTAACCAACACTTGAAACCTCTCTGAGAGAAGTCTGAAGTCAAGTCCATAAACTCGCGGACTCGCATCATCTCCAAGTCACTCCCTTTATTTCTTCGCCTTCTTACCACCAGGATCAAACACCTATCGCAAACAAGTCACACCATGGAATCCAAATACACCTTGGCTCAGAACAGGGCTGCTTTGGAAGAGTTTGTCCGCCAGCCTGTGCGGACCTACATGGTCCAGCACCTTGCAAAGCAAGCCTCACAGGTCATCCGATGTGATCCAGAGCCTCTACCATCTGCCGACTCATTGCCTACACCTCCGTCAACACCACCGCACTCGTCTTCCGCAGAGCCCGCTGCAGCTCCTCTACCGAGCCTGGAACAATTCATCAGCTCCCTGGTTCACCGGTCAGCTGTTCAAGTACCGACTTTGATGACCTCCCTCGTTTACCTCGCCCGCCTTCGATCCAGATTGCCACCTGTCGCCAAGGGGATGAGGTGCACGATGCATCGCATCTTCCTTGCATCCTTGATCTTGGCCGCGAAGAACTTGAATGATTCGAGCCCGAAGAACAAGCACTGGGCAAGATACACAACGGTCAAGGGTTTCGAGGGCTTCGGATTCGGCCTCGCAGAGGTGAACCTGATGGAGAGACAGCTCCTCTACCTCCTTGACTTTGACACTCGCGTGACGGAGCAGGACTTGTTTGATCACTTTGAACCATTCCTCGCTCCCATCCGCTTCCAGATGGAGCTGCGGCAAGAAGAGGCAGAACTCACCAGCGGCCACCGACACTGGCACTCTCACCAGGTCTCGTACGATTCGACCATGTCTGTGGCACCTCTGACACGCAAGGAGCCAGTCCAGGCTGTTGTCGCAACCCCTCCACCAAGAGCAGTCGGTGTCTACGATTCCCCTGCTTCCTACGTTGATGAGGACCTGGCTGTTGGTTGCTATCCCAGACACAAGGCTAACAATAGCTCCTTGTCTTTACCTGCACCCAGTCATCGACGATGGCCGTCGCCATTCCGCCATCACGGCAACGCTCGGTCCGTGTCACCTCCATCCATTCGAGATCTTCCACCTCTAGTTCCATCTAGCAGACCTGGTACAATGCACAGCCACAGCAGTTCTCGATCTTCTTCCCTGGCTCCTTCATCACGGTCTCGATCTTCGTCTCTCGCGCCTACATCTCGAGGAACCCCCTACACTGCGTCATCAAACATTGACGACAGTATCGTGGTGGTTGACTTGACCCAAAGTCCCGATACCTCATACCACAGTACCTATAGCAAGAACGTTCGACCCAGCCTCAAAGGTCACCAAACGAGCTTCCAGGGCGAAAGTCAACCACCAGCCAAAAAGGTCAAGTCAGAGACTGGCGTGGGCGGTGTGATGGCGAGATTTTTCAGTTCCGCGACGAGCAACTACCGGATTGGAAGGACACCTATTCAACAGGCAGCTTAGGAGGCTGTTGCCCTTGTTGACGCGATGAAAACAGGCAGGAATTGCAAGCGACAACGTCTCGACTGAAGTACAGAAGAGATGTAATATCAACCCAGATGCTGATGACCAGGCTGAAATGCCTACGACTGATAACATCTACGCCTCACAGGCTTTACAAAACCATACTCTCATTTACGGCAATGCTGTGTTTCTCTATTTATGTGGTGCGGCGCGAGATCTTGCATAGCGATGGCGTTTGGGAGATATTTTCAAAACTTGACCTCCCAGAGAGCAACAGGGCAGGCATATTTTCTTGGAGAGAAAGGGGAGCTGAGCACAACCCATGTTCACATGTAACACTACAATCCTACTTTAGTCAGAGATCGCCTGGCGTTGAGACGAGAAGAATGAAAGCAATGCGCAACCAAGCAGTATTCGTTGGACTGGAGCCAATGGGTTTGTTCATCTGTTCGGAAGGCGGGGAGAGAGAGGAAGTCAAAAGTGGTAGCTGGGCGGCGACAGCGATGATGATTGATTATGATGAATGAGGCGCGATACGGCCCGCATAAAGGGACCAGGTCAACCGAAACTCTGGGGGAGGGACCGAACCAGACAGAAACAAGATAGACAAATCTTGACCCTTATCCGATGATCTATCTCTTCTTGGATAGAATGGTTATGAGAGTTTCGTCGTGGGGAACAAGCGACCAACCCAACCCAATCCTATCCCAAAGGCAATGCAGAATGCAGAATGCAGAATGAAGAATGCCAAAATTCAAAATTCAAAATTCAAAATCCAAAATGGAAAATGCAAAATATCTTTGAAAGCTTGATGAATGAAATAAACTCTATCGAAAGAATCCACTTTGAGCTACCCCTACCTAGTAGGTAACTCGGTAGACATCTCCCGGCTTTTTATACGAGGACTTGGACTTGGGACTTGGGAGGCGATGGGTGTGGTATAGTGTGGTAGAACTGGTGTACGTACCGAGTATTTAGTACGACAACTCTGACGACCCTTGTGCATGTCCCGAAAAGCATCGACATTTTATAATACTTGTGCTTGTCTACGTGCATTTGTACATACATACCCGAGGAGCGTTTACTTTGCAAGCGCTGGTTATGCGTTGTGTCTTGTCTTGACTGATCTTGTCTGGGCCAGGATGGGTTAATTTGACCCTTTGTTGATCACATAACCCGACAAATCTCTCTGTCAATATTGATGTGTTGATCAAGGTGATCACTTATCTAGGTTTTTTCCCTTTGACCCTCTGAACCTCGTGTACTCGTGAAACTCTTTGACCCTCGTTCCTGACCCTGACCCTGACCCTGCTCTCTCGCCTCCCTTGCGCGCTTGCCTCTGAGATCCATTGTAAACGAGTCAGAGTTTGTTGTGAGATAGATTGAGTGTATACCAATACCAAAACCCACACTAAAATCAACATCAAGATGTGTGTAGTGTCCCTGCAGAAGACCCTCCTACCCTGCTACCCTGCCACCGTCCCTGGAAACCCTGCCCTGCCCATCTCCCCAGCGAGCGAGCCAGCCATGCGCCACGCCATGTCCCCGGTATTCTCGGCTCAGCATGCAGGCAAGGCAGGCAAGGGCAGGGAACAGAAAACTGTATCTCACAGCACAAGTCAGGCAGTCTCCCCCTCTCCACCACTTCAACCCCTCTTTCTTTCCGACTCCCTCTCTTCTTCGCAAGCCACAAAGACTCAAAATGGAATGGAATTGACGATCTTGCTCGCCTGTTGTTCTTATTCTTGTTATTGCATGCAGGCAGGCTAGAAAGAAACCTTCAACACGCTTTTCGCCGGTTGTTCCCATTTTGTGCATCTGTCCCATTTTGGAGGTGTGCATAGGACCTAAAATACCTTTTACACTTCTCGGTAGGTATTGACGTACAGTATCTACCTGCACTACCCGTCCTAATCAATTGACCAAAACAGCCTTTCTCACCAGAAAAGGGAAAAACCACAAGTAAGATTTGGTAAAGGTTGTTCTCACACGTCCCTGTCCCTCAAGCTCTTCGAGGAGGGTCCTTTGATTTGGATCCTGATGTTGATCCTCCTTCTGTCCAATGCCCACATCGCCTCTCCATCTCCATGGTACCCGTTGTATAGACAGACAGCTGGAAAGAGTTACCGTAGCTCCCTATGAGTAGCTCTGACTTGCCACCCCTTTACCTCGTACAGTGTCTCTGACTGACCTTGTCAAGCCGCCCTAGCACATCGCATCCTAGTGAATCTGCGGCACATTATTGAAACAGTGCTCGCGTCTTCTCCCCTCCTGTTGTCCTGGTCGCGTGTCCACGCTCAAACCCGACGAACCTGGTTATGCTGGCATCAATGCCGGTCGGCGTGGCATGAGACCGTTTAGCGCCCATATCGCTCGCTTGTCAGTCTCGCCCATATGCCCCATACCCGTATGCCTCAGGTATCTTATCGCGCCCTCTCCTACTTTTTTCTTCCATGGTCCTTTAGGTCGGTCAAGATCGAATCTCCGGGCTTGGATCCAAATAAGGGTACAGTGCATGCTGTCCGTCCAAATACCCGCCCTCTCTCGACAGATCTTGACAGCCTCCATTTGTTCGCGATTAAAACTTGTCGGCACACCCCAAGACATCTTCGCTGTGCTGCGACGAAAGATGAACGGTGGTATATGAGTGCGGCTGTGGTGCTGGTCACCCCTGTCAAAAAGTGCTCCGTGATCAGAAAGAAGACTGACATCTTTGGGAGGGCAAAACCGCACCGCTCGTTCTCTGCAGACATACACATACCCTCGCCCTCGCTTCAAAGTCTTGAGTGTCCGATTTCTGATCTCCCACATTCTGGATCACTTCGAGTCTCCAACTTCGAGTAGCTGTGTCTGCAGGTTGTTTCGACCTACCCGCTCACTCGCTCTTGTCTGTCACCACTCACTTCCCGCCTTCCACTTGGATATTTCTTTCAAAAGCCGGTTCGGGTTCCTCCTTCTCGCTCAAATTGATCCTCTTTCCCTTGCCCCATCTCAAGCCATTCGTTATAGCCCGGCCAACCGTCCACCCCATCACTACCCCCCAGATAACCGTACAAGGCCATTTCTGCCACTCGCGATCCCAATCCAGCGCCATTGGAATGGCACCCACCCATCCTCCTACAAAGCTTCCCACTGTTGCGCCCCATACGCCTACTGAGTCGAATGGGAGCCACGCGGCCGCAACGTCGCGCCATGCGAGGGAGGAGACGCCGTGGGTGTAGAATAACGGCAGAAAGCCGAGTAGGGAGACATGGACAGAGAGGAGGAGAGTCAGGGGGAGGAGGGAGGTAGGGTACAAAGGCGCGCCCAGGACGAGCGCGATTAAGCTGAGCGGGAGAGGCGGTAGAGTGAACGTGAGGATCAGGGAGAAGAGCGTAGGCTGTATCAATTGTCAGTCAGTAGTCCAATCTCGAAGAGCCTTGCTAAGTCGGAGAGGATGGAAATGAAACAGCATGAGTATGGACTGGACCACAACGCGGCATAGAGCACCCATTGTAATTGTAACATATGGAAAAGCAAACTCACCATGATCCTTGCACCCCAGCTCCCTTCACCAGCCGCTCCTCCTGAACCTCCCTTGCCAGCACCATGACCGTGGCTTTTGCCAATGCCTGGTCCCCCAAGGTTCTTCTTCCTCAAACTTCCACCTCCCACACCTCCAGACACTTTGGCACTCTTTGGGCTTTTCTGCGCCGGACTTGCCGTGCCTTCCACAACGGCGCCGTCTGGTGTACCGGACACCCAGGACCCGGCAGCCGGCAAGCAGACAGCACAAAACAGACACTGCAAGGCCGCGACGACGCCCAGGTCGCTCAGCAAAGTGTTGAACGGGTCTGCAACAAGGGACGACACGCGGAGATAGTAGTACAGCGGGACGAGTACGGTGTGGACGTAGGAGTAGCGGTTTGCGAGCGAGGAAGAGAGCAGAGGAATAGGATAGGTGGTTGGCGTGAGCAGGCGGGCTTTGCTCGACGGTTGCGCGGGCGTAGGAGGCAGGAGATGGGTTAGAGAAGTCGACATATTTGCCAGATCCAAATGAAAGAATGTCGAGGAAGTGTCGTTAACGAGTGAATGCGAGAAGAACAAAACAGCCAGAGAAAGTTTCAAGGCATTGTATCTAACCCGTAGTTCCAAATGGATCGATACTTTGCTACCGTCAATGTTTGCAACTTTGGACCTTTGAGCATGGGCATTTCGCTTGGCGGGCTTAAACCTCGGCCTTGTAGCCTTGCATGTCTAAACGCATGGCTGGCTGATATTGGCACCTCTGGTGCCCTTCCAGGTTGGTTCACTCACAGAGCTCGTGAATTGCCTCAAGTTACTCAAGTTACTCCTGCTATACTCGAACATTTCGCCACTCTTTAGGCCGTATGTATTCGTACATAAACACTGTTGCCTTGCTCCATTCTTAGGAGCTCCATCACACCTGTATGGGTATCTCATGCAAACAGCATCCTCAATGTAAAGCTCCCCCAGCTGAATGCCTCCGTCAAAGCAAGGTTGGAAGGGTCGTGTTTCGCCTTCCAATGGCAAAGGTCCGATGAATATGGTACCGAGAAAGTCAAACAAGAAGCGAATTGATGTATGAAATCTCAATGAATGCAACGCAAACATCAGTTGCGGCTCATATAACTGCCACTTGCTGGGAATCCCTTGCCGTCTCAAATGTATCACGTTGTTGCTCCCGAGGGGTTTCGTAGACGTCCTCGAATCCTTCTTCCGCATCTGAATCTTCTGTCCCACTAAAACGAGATATTTCTTTGGGCAAATGGTCTAATTGAAATGGATGGGTTCGATGCAGTGTTTTCATTCGAGTTGGCGTGCCAGACAAGTTCTGCTTTGAGTCGGGACTAGGTGTTGGGTATGGTTCTCTGATCGTCGCGTAGACCGGAGTCCTCATGCTGTCCATTTCCTTCTGGAGTTCGGATACCTGCTCTTCCAGTTTTTGTCGAGCCGCCTTTTCCTCTTTCATCATTTCCAGCAAAGCCTCAAACTTTTCAGAAGGAATATGAATCGACGACGGCGAATTCCCTCTCGAACGTCTGGGCGACCTCCGTCTCGCGGTCGCGGGTCTGATCGTGGCAGTTGTAGCTCTGCTCGCTCTTTGAGGATTGAACACATCATCGACTTCTGGAGAAGGGGCCGGTGACTCGCCAGGAGAAGACAAGAATGTAAAATCCCGAGCTTCGCCAGAAGAAAGGTAGCTCAAATCATTCGACGATCCGCTTGTCAAGGTCAAGTTCGTCGTATTGTGAAAGAACGTGTCCGGCATCGTGCCTTGACCGAATGGTTTCTGGTTTAACCTCGGATTTGGCAAGTCGTTGCCTTGGAGCTTGGCCAACGCAAATTCAAAGTCGTAGAGCTTGATCTCTAGAGTGTTGACTCTCTGCTCCAGTCCGATCTCATCCCGCTCTGGACTTCCAAGGCCAAAGTCAAAAGTCTGCATAGGCTCGACGGTGGAACGACCACGCTCCGATTCCGCCATCGGGTTGTCTGATCCCAAGACGTGTGTGGGATCTACCGAGATCGATTGGCCACTGTACACAGGAACAGGGTTTTGGATGGCGCTATTGCGCCAGTAAGCAATTTCACCTGCTCGGTCACGAGTGGAAGGGCGTTTATCGCTGCCTTGGTGAACAAGTTCGCTGAGGGCGTCTGCGCTCCTCGATCGCCGCTTGAACTGACGATCCGAGACACCGTCTTCCTTTGACCTCTGTTCCACTGAGGACGGTTGCGGTTCTGGCCAGTCAACAACCGCAGGCGCGAGAATTGACTGTATGTCACTGAAGACGAGACTGGGTAGAGTGTTGCGACGCCCGCGCCGCAGAGGAGGGGGTAAGCTCTGGTGAACAGCTTCAACCTGAGGATATGGATTGGAATGTGAAGTTAGCGCGGCTCCTCGCAAGTTTGTGTCTGATCCCAATTGGGGAGCCGATTCCAGTCGTGTCCGAATCGGCTGCTCTGTGACTGGTTTGAGATGTCCCGTATCATTGTAGTGAAAGCCACTTGTATCAGTAGGTACGGATCTGTGTTTCTTGCTTGAGAACATGCGCCTGAGCGTTGCGCGCAATCCATTGGGCTTCTTCTGGTTCAATGATGCCTTGGAAGGAATGGAAGACATTGAGCTCTGATTCAGTGATGGCCCAGCGGAAGTACGAGAACGTGTGTGTGGCGGAAGGTCACTGACATGTCGCACATGGGTATCCTGCGTCGCCGTACTTGCCCGTGGCCATGTGGTGTCGTTATGTCGCTGTACCGACAGATGTCTGGCGGGTGGCACGGTGCTAGTGTTGCTGAAGACCCCAGACTCATCGAAGGGAATGGGATCTGATATCTTCAATTCGCCACGGCGCAAAGCAGCGCCCGTGCTGGCCAGGGACAAAGACCCTGATCCCTTGGCTTTGTGGTTGGGAGAGGGCATATCGCGAGATTGCGAGGCCTGAGCGAATACTACCTCCCAGAAATCACCAATTGCGCAACATCAGGACTGGACGAATGACACCTGAAGGTGTGGCATCATGCTGATGCGCTGTGGCTTGAAATGTGCCCGCTTCACAGACTGTCAACAGACATTGGGAAGCTCGTATCGATGAGTGCTATCCCTGACGGTCACAGAGGTGGCACAATTGCATCTGTCACTGAGATGTCAGCCGCGACAACTGCCCTTAGATCTCCGGAAATCTGGAAGTCTACCATAGGTTTTTCTGGAAGATTAAGATTAGAGCCAAAAGTATATCTAGATAAGGCGGCAACACCAGTCGGAGGCAGTGGTGAGAAGGAACAGTGGGCCTGAACAACTGCAGGGCCAATGATGACCTTATGAAAGAGTGACCAGGGAGTTGGAAGACAGAAACGGTGCGCGGAAACCGAAGGTAAGGCAGACTCGAGACGGACAATGGGGCGAAACAGGAGGAGTAGAGTCTCAGGGTCGCAGAATTGCAGAATTGCACGATGGTAAATAAGGGCCGAAGCGGCTTTGAAGAGACGAAGACAGAGCTGCAAGCACGGCAAAGACAGCAGTGTCTTGGTGTGTAGTAGTCGTATCCTTGTAGATCACAGAGTTGGTGTTGGTTTCGGCATCGCTTCGACCCGCATTGCTCTGGCAAGCTTCGAGCTTCAAGCCTCGAGGCTGCTCTGAAGGGTGAAAGAGACACGACGCCAACTCAAAAGAAGAAAGTATGACAATCTCTGGCGTGGCCTAGAGTGACAGCTGGCCGTGTCCCACTTGCTCCGGTGTGCTCACAACATCCATCCTCTTTTTGTTCCCGTTTCAACAGCGGCGGAATTAGACAGCGGATGATGACTTGGACGCAGGAGATCGAGTCGGCGCGGCGCAATAATGGAGGGGCAAGGTCCCTGATGGAGACAAGTCATGACAAGGATGGCGGTGGGTGTGAAGCAGAGTGAGCCAGGAGAACCAGAAAGACAAGAAAGAGGAAATGCGGGCGTCAAGGCTGGCAGGCTACTGACCAGTAGTGATAGAGAGTGGCCGACGCGCCCCAGTCATTCATTCGTTAGCCTTGGAGGGGCTCCCTAGGCATCACTAGGCCTCACTAGCTCGCGCGAGTACGAGGGAGGTATTCTCTAGGAATGCCCCTTCTCAGCACATCCAAGCAACTAGACTCCAAACTGCGACGCCAGCTACCTACCTCTAAGTAGGGGTTCAGCTCACTAGGGATTTTCCTCGCCGTGCCCATGAAGGATCAAAGACATCGAACACAGGCACCACATCAGCGAGAAACAATTTACGTTCATCGTCTCCAGCCAAAGAAAAGTCATCTGCCAGCCCCCAACCAACCATGATCCGTCGGCGCTCACTCGATCCACCTCCACCATCTTGTCCATCCCACTAACGAACTATCGACATCCTGACGTGCCGGTTGACCGCAGCTGGTATTGCCTCGTTCTCCCCCGTGACTGGTCAGCACCAGTTCGTGCGCTCCCGCAGGTGTTGTGGCACCTCGTAACCATCCGTGTGCCATCTCACCGCACAATCCTCCCCTCTCGTCTACGCGCTGATCCCGCTTCCCTCTTCAAAAAAAATACCACGGGGTCTCCGGAAAGCTGAAAGAGACGGATCATCCAAGGAGGACGGTCGAAGAACAAGTGCGACCACCTGGTCGGACGCTATCCGCGCCAACTATGCCCTGTCCAGCATGACCACATGTCGACCCTCCTCTAAGCTGGCCAGCCCACCCCTTCCTATTCTGCTCAGTCCATTGGATTCAACATGACTACCCCTGCGCCATGCAGCGATGCAAGTCATTTTTAGCGCGGAAATACCCGTTTGCGACTGAGCTCACGCAGACGAAGCCGCTCACGTCGCGGTTTCGAAATCATACAAGCGAACTTGAAGGGTAGTCTGGGACAGAAACATGTCTCTCTCTCGGGAGCACACCGGAAGTTACGCCAGAAACCGTCCAACAGTCATAAGCCTAAATAACACCATCATCGGAGATATCACAACGTGCACTGGTGAACACTGATCAGGTAAGGCTGCCCAATGTTTGCTGTGCAAAAACAGGAAAAACAGCGGCGTGTCCGCTTCGCCACGAGTGTCGTGTTTGGAGGCCCCCGCTCGTTGCTACTCAGCACTGATATGGCAGGGAATCCTTGAACTCATGATACTCGTAAGAGTACTCGGTACTTTGCTGACCCATTATGAAAGGCGTCTGCTCTCGAGAAGCGTGAAATCGAGCTTGATTGGCCTAACCTTGTTCTCTTTTACATTCACGCAACGAACCCTTATCTTGGCCCTTTGGTTTGGCTACTCCTACTCGTCGTTGGGCAATGCTTCCTTTTTCGCCGAACAGAAACCACAAACTCTTTCTTTTCTCTCTCGGCTTCCTTGCGCAATCGAGGCTCGACTCGTTCGCCTCTGAGTACAGATGTCCCCACCATATACATGGGTGGCATGGCATGTTTTCGGCCCCGTGACGTGTTCTGTGAGGATTTTACAGTGCAGTTCGTGGTGGACGCCTGATTGATCCTGTCGCAACAACGGGGCCCGTGGACACAACCATCATGACACCGGCTCTGTTCCCGTTCGCGCAGGTACAGCGTGCGATTGACCTCGCAAGGCGCCCAATAATGCGAACCCGTGGTAGGGCCGTAATTGACGAATCTCGAGTCGATTGCGTGGTCAAATCGGAAGTGCAGTTGTGACGGAGCACTCTGGGCTATCATCAACCAATTGCTGTTCAAATCCTGCTTTATTTGCTGAGGACATTCCACGTCAGACCTGTCCCTTTGACATGAAACTGGCTACCGGCCTCTTTCGTATGCGTTTCAAATGTACCTGAAAGCAAACCAATACGAGGTGTGCCTCCCACCACTAACCAAGTTCTTTTGCTAGCTTTGCCGACATTGGGTTCCAATGATTCAGGGCATGAGCCCGACTGTGCAGATTCTTGAATTGCAGGACGTTGTGTAACGACACAAACTACCCGAGTTCCAAATCCTCGATGTTTGCATATCTCAGGTCGGCATGGTCCTCCAAGAATTTCATCCACTTCTTCAAAAAGGGACTACCTCGAGAAACGGTCTCTGAATCGCCAATCACGCACAAATGGCGCTTCGGTCGGGTCATTGCAACTAGAGACCGCCATTTGTTAGATACGCTGCACACAGAAGACTCGATCCAGGCTGCAGGGTGCTCGTATCTGCGCAAGCGCACAAAAACACAGTCGACGATGGCATGGGGAAATTGGACTTACCGTTCAACCTCCTTTTCTCTCCCAGGAAGCCCACTTCCTTTTCAGCGTTGCTTCTGACCAGACTGACAATGATGGCTTCCTTCTCTCGGCCTTGAAAACCGTCCACACTACCCAATTCGAGGTTTGGGAACTTCTCCTTGAGCAATGAGCTCAGAAGAGCGAGCTGAGCGTTGTAGGGTGTGACGACCGCTATGTCTTCGTCCCTAACTCCAGCCTCGACCAGATTCTTTACATGCATGGCAGCCACAGCCGCTTCCATTTCATTGCACTTACTGTCTCCCAGCAGGGTCGATTTTTTAACCTGGCCACTCGCGCCGTCTTCAGCCTTCTCCGGAAAGTCACCTCCTTGGGTGTCGAAAAATACAAGTGGTTCGATTGTATCTTCGGTCTCTTGTACTTCGTACGGCAGATCTCTCAGCAGTCGGGACTTGACAGCATCGGCGGCGACAAGCTTTCCCTCATATAGCTCATCGCTGGGAAACCGCATTATCTTTTCGTGCATTCGGTACTGCGTATTGAGCAGCCTCTTGATCCCAGATCCATGTCTGGCCAAGAGTCGGTCAAACATTGTTGTTTCCAAGGACCAACTTTTCGCTGCCTTTAGTTCTTGATCCTTGACAGACAACTTTGCCAGTTCTTCCTCCAGAGTTTTGATCCTTGCTTTCTTCTCCTCCTTGTTGTCTTTGTTGTTATCTGCGCTCTTGACTGTTGGCGGCAACTGTAGATGATCGCCCGCTAAGATCAGCTTTCTCACGTTTGCTCCTCCGAAGACCAGCGGGATCCAGCATTGTGGCTCGAGAGCCTGGCTGGCTTCGTCAATCACCACGACGTCGAAGGCTTGATTGCGGATTTGGTGGCTTCCAGCACCGTGCAGTGTCGACAGCACGACTTTGCTGCTCGTCACAAGTCCATCTATACACTTCCCTTCCCTCTCCCGGTACTCTTTCCTCAAGTCTTTCAAGTCGGCGTAGATTGCACGCCGTTCGCGTGCGTTGCGAGTCTTCCGAATAGAAGCTTGCTTTGTATCCATTTCCTTGCGCACATCGCTTACAATCCCCGCAGCTTCGCTCGTCCGCGTCAACACCTCGAGCGAGTGGTTCAAAACACTTGGCAAGAGGCGAGCCGGATGACCTAGGCGGACGATTGGTGTACTTGGGGAGGTCAAGGAAAGACGTTCAACAATGTTGTCCACACTGATGTTACTGGGTCCGCACACCAACACACGTTGATTACGCTTGAGAAGCTGCAGGATGAGTTCGATCAGTGTGTATGTCTTCCCTGTTCCAGGAGGACCGTGAATGAGAGCTATCTCCGGTGCGCAGAGGGCGAAACGGACGGCATTTTGTTGGGATGGGTTCAATGTCGAGTCGAAGAAATCGAATTTGTCCGAATGAGACGAGTCAGCTGTGCCTGGAGAAGAAAGCCCTAGGAGCACACGCTGCAGCGTTGTGTACGACGACTCGGGCGCTTTGAGTAGCCTAGTAAGGGTCTGGTTCATTCTTCAGACACTACAGTCAGCCGAGTCTGGTTTTCGAGAGCCACATGGAGCAGAACGTACCTCCTGTAAGTGACATCGTTTGCCAGTTTAACCCTGTGCAGCGAATAATCAGTTCCTTGGTCAGTGCGAGTCTGTAGCAACCCTCACAGAATTCTAGCAACAGTGAGAAAACGTACAGCCACAGTTTTCCGTCCGGGACCTCTTCGACATTGTCGCTCCCTCCACCCTCCTTGCCCAGGGCAACCCACACAGCCCTCTGCCCAACCCGGACCACCACGCCCTCAACGCCCTTTTCCTTGAGCTCAGCGGCTTCCTTCTTCCTCGCCGTGCCTTTCGGGGTCTCTCCAACGCGCACGATATCCCCCGTCCGGATCCCGTGCTCTGGCAACTCACCTCTGGAGTCCTTGCTGACGACCGCGGGATCGAGACCGAGCTCCACCACACTGCGTCCCCCGAGCCCGGTCTTCAGAGAGTGGACTGAGAGGTTTAGGATCGCGAGCCCGGCTCGGGAAAGAGTCGTGGGCGGCGTGGATGAGAGCAGGAGGGAGGTCTCGGCGACCTCGGAATCTTGCTCGAGGTTGACCAGGTGAAGAAGGATAGTGAAGAAGGCGGAAGGAGAAAGCGTTTCGGATGCTGAGGGTGCCATTTCTTCTCCCCCTTTCGACAGATTTTCCAAGAATATGAACGTTATTCTGATAGAGAGATGGAAAGGGGCGCGATATCAGACCGTGATAACCTTAGCAAATCAAGTCGGGCGTTTGTGGAAGAGAGTGGTCTTCTCTCTTAGCCTTTCGACGTTGAACGCGGAGTAGTGCTAGCTGTTACCATTGCTTTTTTGTATTTGCCACTGATCTCTATCCCGACCATAAGTGTTGAAGCTATTTTGTCCGTGTTATTTCTTTTTGTGATGGTATGAGATGTGGGTGAGGGAAATCTAGCTGCGGGGTACAGGCAATCGAGGGATGTTCAGAACGGATGAAAGCACAGAAGGGTGATTTCAAAAGTCGTGGTCACGTACTCTCCAAGTTCCGGCTCTGAAGGAGCGAGGCCGCAGCGGAGAAGATTGGGTATAGGAAGAAGGGGAAAAGAACAGCCTTGTTGAAGACTTTGTTGATAGGCGGATGGAGTCATAAAATGCAGCCTTGCGCAGCCTTGGCGCTTGCAGCAAATATCCTTCTCTACATACAACTATGTACATAGATAGCAGCTCTTTTTCTGTCATTTCTCTGGAAAAAAGGGAAGAGGTACCCGGCTACCCTCTCGACCGCATACTCGCACGACGTACCGGAATGCTGATGGAAGAAAGATATTGCCTCCAATTACAATCTAGGGTCTTGGATGAGCCCACGGAATACTCACTGCGGTGAGACCAGATGTCCGCCCGTTGTATCCGACAACAGGGGCCCTCGGGTCGCTCATAGCGCAGAGCCCATCGAGAACACGGGTATAGGCTTTTTGCCATATATGACGGCACTGTGGCAATCTAGGTCAGTCTCATGGACTGGAATTTGACCCTTCACATACCATGGCCAATAGGTATATCGCTTCGTCGCCAGGTCCAAGATATGGTGGAGGTTCTTGACAGGCGCATAGAAGAGCTGGGAGCCAGCAGCAAGCAACATTGCCTGGTGTCGTAATTCCATGTGTTCGTGCTCGGCAGAGTCGTTGAGCATGAAATATTGGCCTTCTTTATATGCATGGTATGTCCGGCTGTTCTCGACCTTGTATTGATATATACTCGACCGAACTGATTGGGTCAAGATTGAGTCCTGCTCGAAGCCTGAGTCCTCGGTGTCGTACTGCTCTTATCATTAGTTTGAGCTACTGATGAGACGTTGGACAAACCCCAGGGTCTATTTCCAACTCGTCGCTCTCTTGACCTAGTCGACTGGCGCCGGCATTTGAGTTTGTCAAAGAAGCCATGTCCATCTTTCTGCTGAAACTCCTGAGGACAAAGGGACGAAAGGGAGCAGATCTGGGTACATGGTGGCGTCGCAACTCTCGTCATTCAACAACAAACCCGTCTTCCACCGATTCGAGGGCCGCGGTACGATAGGGTGTAGGGCTGGGGCCACACTCAAGGCCCTCTCCCAGAGCAGTCTAGACAGAGTGGCCGACAATATGGGAGGGAATGGACAAGCAAAGCATATTGCTGGGTCGGTGGATCTGATCCAGACCGCATCTTGTTATCACCAACAATGATGTTCGCTTTCTCTCCAACATGTAGGGGTTGCCTTGAACGAGGGATACACCAGTGACAAAACTGGAACGGCAATTAACCGAAGGTGCCTGGACGATTGTTAGTACTTGGACGACTCGAGCCAACAAAGCAGCCATGGACCGAGCAGATCCCCGACATCGCCTGAACTTCCACCAACAACTGGCTAGTATCTAGACGACTTGCGAGGGGGCACATGCATTCGTTCCATCTAATCGGTAAAGGCACAAGAGTTCCCCTCTCTATAAAGGATCAACAAAATTCTATCCATTTGCACTTCAAACTTTACACATCACGACGGCCGTACTTGTACACAGCCACTTAAGCTGTCAAAGCTTCATCGCAGTCTAGGAGGTGTTTATCCCCCAGAATGCTGGAGCAAGTCACTGGTACGCTGCAGGTCAGCTTTACCAAGATCCTGGCCCTTTCCGCTGTTACCTGGCTGGCGTGGGCCGTCGTCTCAACCCTCATAGCATACAGCAAACTACGACATGTTCCCGGGCCACCGTTGGCTGGCTTCACGAATTGGTGGTGGATCAAAGCCGCAGTCTCGGGGCAAGGCCATCTTGCCTTGAAAAAAGCATGCGATCGTTACGGTATGAGACAGGTTTCCAATCCCTCGGGAACGACAGGGTGGACAAGGCAGGTTCTAACGAGCCGGTCCAGGATCCATTGCTCGGATTAGCCCGTCCATGGTGGTGACGTCGGATCTCGAACTGTATCGCAAAGCAAATGCGCACAGGATCAACGACTACTCGCGGGGCCCGTGGTACAAGGCATTCAAGATGGACGCTGAGCGGGAGAACCTTTTCACCGAGCTCAATGACGAGAAGCACTCCCTCATGCGTGCAAAGCTGTCTCCGGGGGTAAGCACGAGTATCACTCGGCATTGGTTCAAGACACTAAGCTCGGTGACAGTATTCAGGCAAGGATAACCCTGAATGCGAGCCCAGTATTGATCAGGTAGTCATGGACGTCGTGCACCTGGTCAAACGAAAATATCTGTCGGTGGGATCCAACATCAAGCCGCTCGACTGGGCCCAGTTGGCACAATACTTCACCCTGGACGTGATCACATATCTGTCCCTCGGTGAAGCATTCGGGTTCGTTTCGGACGACACGGACAAATACACATATGTGAGGTCCATGGAGGACAATTTCCCCATCATGAATGTCTTTTCCGCAGTGCCGCTGCTGTCAGCCATCGCGAGGATCCCAACGGTGCAAGCAAACCTTGTGCCTTCACCGAAGGAGAAGACCGGGCTTGGGAAGGTCAAAGCGTGGGTCATGCGAGCAAAGTAATTCACCACCCAGCTAAGACTAACACCATTGCAGTGTCGCTCGGCAAATCATTGCTGGCCGTTTCTCCGGGGAGAAGGCGGGCCGCTATGACATGGTGACTTCGTTCAAAACCCATGGTTTGTCAGAACTGGAGATCTCGGACGAGTCGCTGTTCCAGTTGCTGGCGGGCTCCGACACGACGGCGACCATCGTTCGCACTGGCTTCCTCTCAATCTTATCAAATCCACATGTATACCGCAAGCTCCAAGCGGAGGCACTGGCCACAGACATTGGCTTGGATAAGGTTATCTCATACTCTCAAGCACTGAGGCTGCCGTATCTGCAAGCTTGCATCAGGGAAGCTCTGCGACATCATCCGGCTGCGGCAGGCTTACTCCCTCGAGTCGTCGGTGCACAAGGTGACACACACAATGGCGTCTACCTCCCTCCTGGCACCGAGGTCGCCTTTTGCGCCTGGAATATGCACCGCCATAACACAGAGGTATACGGTGCAGACGCTGAGATCTTCCGGCCCGAACGCTGGCTCGAGGCGTCTCCTGAGCGTTTGGCCATCATGGAAGAGGCGCACCATCTCGTCTTTGGCAATGGCAGGTTCCGCTGCATGGGTGAGAATATTGCGAGATTGGAACTGAACAAGATCTTCTTGGAGATGATCCGGAGGTTTGACTGGAGTTTGGTTGATTCTGTACATCCAATCAAGAAGGACACGAACTACGGATTGTTCGTGCAGAAGGGCATGTTTGTCAGGGTGAGCGAGCTGGACAGCTGACGAGGGTAGCCTTCTGTATGTGAGAGTTTTCAACGTAGACCGCTATATATACTTTGCGGAACATTTTGTCGAGCAATCTACTTTGCTACCTACGAGTAGGAGGTATGTGCATGGAAAAGATGAGAAGCTGATTTGTCATGACGTAGGAAGGCGGACGAATTCCTCGTCATTTGAAATTGGTGTGGAGCAATAATAACACCGAGCACAAAACCGCACAACGCACCTGGCCACAACCCCGACTTTCATTTTCACTCATGGCTATTACATGCTGTTTTGATACGTTCCTTCCATGCACAGGCAGTGCTGAGCTCGTCTGAGCTCGTCAAAGCCGGCACTGCCCTATGAGATGCTCCTAGGGCTTTGACGTCCATCGATAACTCTCGTCTTCTCTCTGTCTCTGTCTCCTCGAAGTTTTTCGCTTTGTATTTTCTGCGTACGAGGTGCACCTTGGCTGAACTGTCTGTCGTCTGATACCAGATCATGGTGCTGCCAAGTCGCTGGGTCTAAACGTGTTTCTCTCACGGGGGCATTGGCTGGCGATCAGGATAACCGCTCTCTACGTCTACTTACAACATGACTTCCACAGAAGATTCCGAGAAACATGCTCCTTCGAACGGAGATAAACCCGCACCGACACCGGCGCAATCGTGGACATATCCCACACGAACCTGTCGACTCTGCCTCGAAGAAGTGCCCGCCACAGTGACTCTCTACCCTCCCGGTGTCCCCCCGGCCTTTCAACGTCCCGTCGTCGAGTACAAAAATGAAGATGAATACGGCCGGCTTATCAAGCCGTGTCATTGCAGAGGAGGCATGCGGTACATACACGAGCTGTGTCTAAGGCGGTCCCGGACAGAGGGTGTGCGGCCCGGCTCGCTTTGGAAATGCCACGAATGTGGCTATCAGTTCAACTTCAACAGACTCACCGTCCAGAAGTACCTCGGCAGCAAGACAGCTTCGGGGGCTCTGACGGCATTGGTCATGCTACTGTTTGTGTTTCTTCTCGGGTTTATTGCAGATCCCATCCTCAATCTGTACACCGACCCCTACGAGACGATCGTGGGCCACGAGGATGTCTGGCAGGCAGTTGATGTCAATGACTCGAAAGGAAGCCTGTCAGGCTGGGCCCAGCATTTTATAAAAGGGCTGGTCTCGATGGGCGTGCTTAGCTTCTTGAGAACCATGATCCTCAACCCTTTCCAATGGTGGAATCTTAGAAACACTGGCTTTATCACCGGCAGGGTATCTGGGAGATCTGCTACTGGTCGAGACCGCGCAGTCAACGTCAGCTGGATTGTGGTGGTGATGGGAATCCTGTCGGCATCGTATTTTTTCTACCAGTGGGTGCAAACGATCATTGGCAAATCACTCCAACGCATAGGGAACAACATCGTTGACACGCAGCTCCCGGGCGATGATGACGATATCAAACCTCCGCCAGGGTTCAAGTTTGAGAACAGCTCTCCGGACACTGCCATTTCGGAGGCAAGTCCGCAACAAGAGGACAGTTCGCCAGCAAATCAGCGCGAGGAAGCAGCTGAACCAAAGCATGTGGACGCGCCTCGCATCGCACCAGGTGTTATGCCGGGGACTTGGGGATCCAGCGCCTACAGTTCGGCCTTGGATGATGCTCAGAGGCAAGGCTGGTCGTTCCGAGGGCTCTAGCCATCTGCTTTGGGGGCCCCGATGGGTGCAGACTGCGCTGCTTGTGATGCTTCCCATTGTGAGGGCTATCCGTCCGACGACCCTGTCAGTGTAATATATCTGTTGAATGTTTATCTCTATCTCACCATCGCCCAACTTTGAGTTGTCACATCTGTTTCAGTGAGGTGCCAATCAGTCAGTGCGCGAAGAGCAACAGCATTCCGCCTCCGAAATGTGTCGGCGTCATGTCTTCGCATCTCATCAGGCGGTTTGCCAGGCCAACAACTTTCCCCAGAAGCAGCTGGTCCAGTCCATGGCCTGCGATGGGAACAGTTGGTAAATCCATGACATGTGACACCAGTATTATGAAAATCATGCCTGTGATGCCTTCGATGGTGAGGCAGTCAGTGAATATGATGAGACACCAAGAACGACAATGACAACTCCATGTTCTACTTGTTCTTGCCTTGCTGCTTCTGCTGTTTCTATCTCGATGTGACTTGCACTTGCTTTCGTCCCTCATCGACCTGATCGTTGCTTCCCTTGAAGACTGCGTCTCGTTTTCCCCGATTCCGAGTCTGAGACCGCCTCATCTAGACTTCATACATTCATGTCCTGATCGATAAAGATCCTCGCTCAATCATGGCCGATTCAGCTGAAGCTACAGATACTGACCTCTCCGCACTGTTCGACCGGTATCCGGACATCAACTTTGACACGACAGGGGACATCGTTTCGAGTTCTGAGATCAGTGAGCATTTCTCATCACCAGGTTCAACCGCTACAGACCATGATGACACTCCTATCTCACACGATTCGACTTCAACCGCCCACACCACTCCGCTGCGGCCCAGTCTTCGCTCCGCCGAAATACTGGAGTTTCCGACACTGGATCTGTTCCTCGAACACGTTGCCAGTGCTGATCTCCCGTTGACATGCAAGGAAGCATTTGAGAGTCTTGCACGGGCGACAGCTGGGCTCGGTTGGTTATTGGTG